CATTTGTTAACGTAATATTTTTTCATTCTTCGAATCGCAATTCTCTTCGAACCTGTTACTTCAATATCCATTGCACTGACATTTGAGATAGCCTGCTTGGCCAGGCTGTCGGCCCTCTCATTACCAATAAAGCCTATATGGGCTTTAACCCAATGTAGCTTAATATTTAAATATGAACTCAAAGTTTCTAAATGACTCTTAATTTCGACAATTAATTTCGACATTAGAACAGTAACTTTTAATTTCGACATTAGAACAGTAACTTTTAATTTCGACATTAGAACAGTATAGAACATATTAATAAGTTACAGAGAAAAATTCGTTTCATTCAGTTTTATTGTATTTTTTAAGTACTGTAGCTTCTCTTCAATAACTAATCGTAAAAAAATTTTGCTAGGGAGACAATCCATTTTCATTTCTCTTCCTGAGTTTGAAATTAAGATGTCCCTCAGGTTCGAAAGGGAAGACTAATATTTTTAAGTCAGAACTATTAGTTATCATCATATATAAAGCTTCAAGCTATGCATGAAAACAATAGAAATGAATTTTGTGAAAAGACGTTTTCTTCTAACAGAAGTCTCTACGAATTTCATTCACAAATTTGATACTGTCAGCATAGTGCTCCTAAACTGATAGTACAAATAAAAATCTTAAACTTGTCTATCCATTCAGTAGACTGGTGGTCTACAAAGTGGGGGTATGTGTAAGCGTACGCAAAATGATGATTAAGGGTACGCCAAAGAAGTAGTAGGCTCACAATCACTTGCAAGTGGATGACTGTGTATTACGGTAAGAGCGAGGTTCTCTTATTAGTCCTTGTGTCTGCGGAAGCATATATATTATATTGTATTATATTGCATTATATTATATATATTAATATTATATATAAATATATTATATTGTGATGTAACATTACATTATATTATATCGGGTACAACTCAAAATTATTTTCATCTTAGGGGGTACGCGATCAAAAACGTTTGCAGTTCGCTGTAGTAGACGATATATAATATTGGGTAGTGATTGCGAAAAATGGTCGAATTTAATGAAGTATGTTGTATGAATTATATGTGACTGCATTAAACTAATTACAACAAAATATATGCTCTTTCTATACCTTTCATTCCATATTTTGAAAGATTAATTCCAATGGTTTTACTAGTTGTTTGTTTATGTTCGACACATCCTATGTGTAAAATGTTGTATACATCTGACTCTCCTTGAGTAAATTTAAGGGGACTCATACACCTTAAAACCCATAAGATGTTCGAATAGGTGACTGTTGCAAGAATTGGAATAACTTATTTATTTTAAAAGAAATTACTACCAACTTTTTACAGCTGACTGCATAATATAGCTGCTTTCTGAAATAGCAATCAGAAAGTTTGTGTTGCCACAAATATTTTTATAATTTAATCCGCTTTGTGACACCATTTTTTGTCATGTTTCCAACTTGCGCGTACAGTTTAAAACATTCTGTTTCGTAATTGAATTTCATATTTAATATGTAGCTTTTATAACATTTGGAAACTACTGTGAACCTAAAATTCTAAAAATTTCATGTTAAATTTTATTTTGAGTTAAGTATATAAAATGTATTTTATTAACAAAATTTGTAATGTTTTCGTCCATAAAATTTTTCAATATTAAAATATTCAACAGATTGTTGGTTCAGTTAGAAAATAGTGCCCATATAAAGAATTCCATCCAATTTCAAGGATGTACCATTAGCCATTTTTAAAATATCATGCGCGCAAGGTGGAAACATGGCGAAATATTTTGTCACAAAGAGGATTAAATTACAAAAATATTTGTGGCAACACAAACTTTCTGGTTACTAGTTTCCAAAGCAGCTATATTATGTAGTCAGCTGTAAAAAGTTGGAAGTAATTGCTTTTAAAATAAATAAAATATCCTAATTCTTGCAACAGTCACATATTCGAAGATCATGAGGGGGTTTAAGGTGTATGAGTCCCCTTAATGAAATATACATTAATGATGCTATATCACGGCTAACTTAATTCTTCATGCAATTGCACGTTGCTTTAAGTCAAATGCTTATTTCACAGCTTAAAAACTCCTGTTGCCGATTTCAGAAACCAGTTTAGAAAGGAGCGTTACAGCTTATAAGTTAAAATTACTAGGGTATGTTAATTAATAATAGATACTCGTATATATAAATAACGACAATAAAAGGCATGCATATGTCAGAAAGATATACAGCAATTAAAATTTTTGTAGTAGACATATTTAAATTATTACTCCTTAAAAAGCTATTATACAGTTAAATGATGTCTAGCTTTCACTAACTTGGGATTATGATGCCCAGTGTGGTAATAATAGGCAATGTATAAAAATGTGAAATCCGTCCATTTTCCCCTTCTATTAGAAATGCCTTATTTGATTCTTTTATCTGTAACATTTTATAAGAGTCTTTAAACTGTTTTTTTCCAAACACATTTAATTATCATCTGGCTTCTCCATTTACACGCAGCATGATTGGTGAATACCAGCTGGCAACTGCAACAGATGACTGATTACAAATCAGGTGCTGTCATTTCCGTTCGTTCTACATACAGTTAAATGATGACTACTTGACTTGTACTAAAAAATGCCATTTAATATAATATTTTTTTAGAGGATTCATGGCAGTTTTGTTTAATTGTTTCCCACCTATGAAACATATTGCTCTAATCTTTTACCTATCCTGAACATTTGGTGAGGATGTGTAAAATAAATAGAGAAGCAATATCAGATTTTAAAAATATAATCAACTTTGAAAAGTTCATAGATTTAACATTTATTTAGATTTTGCTTGTTAACTGTATCAAAGCGACGTCACTGAGCGAGTTTTATAAAGATTCCTTTTTTTCTGCCCTGCTATACTCCCCGCAAAATTAGTAGTATTAACCTTTGTTATCACTCCTTTTAACATCTGATGCAAAAATTTATAATTCTGTGAAATAATTATTTAATTTTGTGGATCCGATGCTGCTGCTTAAATGGGCGAGGTCATTTTTAATCTCTTGATTTATTTATAATTAATTAAAATTAAGTGTTTAATTACACTAATACAATAATAATTAGTTATAAGTGTTTAATTACACTAATACAATAATTTAATTACACTAATACAATAATTAAGTGTTTAATTACACTAATACAATAATACAATCTTTTTAAAATAAAGTTTTTAATTAGTGTATCATTTTTAATAGTACATTAGTATTTAAATCATTGTTAAATAAAAATCGGTTATATTTAAAAATTAAAATAGGCAGCTTCATCTATCGAGAAATTAAGGCCTAATTTAAGTGAGTGGAAAAGGGGTCCACTTCCCTGCTCTCCACCTTCAAAAAGGCCTGCAAATTGTTGTACAATGTTTAAAATATGTAAAACTTCACATATTTTTATGTTCAAGGCTTGAAAATTATAAACTTAAAAGACGAATATTTATTTTTAATTTCTTATATTTATATATATACAAAAATCATAAAAAGACCATAGTCTCGCACTGATATTGACGAGAGATGTCGCTAAGTTACTGCGCATTTTTATAGATTATTATAGCAAAGATATAAAAATACTTTCAAAGCGGGGAAAAAAACGCCAATAGAAAAGATTTCTTCAACGGTGAAAAATACCTGAGTTATTTAATTTTATATTTTATTTCCATATCTGATAATTAAATTAATAAACAAGTCAGTTGTAAAGATTTCGAATATCTTTGTAATTTAATTACTTAATGTTTGTGATCAATAAGAAGATAAGATCTTTGGTTTAAAATTCGTAAACTTATGTTTTATACAGCACGTAATAAACTGAAATCATGAAAACAAAGGGTACAAGATTGAAATCAGGAAATATAAGCGTACGTGAAATATATGTTTTGATTCATTTTAAATGAAATGTGTTGAATTACACATTATATGTTTTGATTCATTTTAAATGAAATGTGTTGAATTACACATTATATAATTTATATCATTGGTATCTATTTGGGAAAGATTACAGAAGTGCGGTCTTCATAAGGTGTTTTGACGAGTGTCTCTGATTTTCGTAACTTAACTACTGGTAGAAATGCAAACAGTTTACATAAAGTTAAATGCAAACAATATTAACAGAAAATTTCGCTACTTCATACATTTGTAACGCTAATGGCGATGGCGGCCATATTGCTTATATGTAGAATAAAAACCTTTTGGAACAGTCATCGCAATCAGAAAGATCACTTTTTCAGATTTTACATGAAAGCAGATCATTCATTATCCATGCTGCTAAGCTGATCTAAAAGATTCTGATGTTATACAGATAGTGCACAATGCGTCAACAAAGTTTTAAAGCTGAGTGGTATATAAAGTTGAGATAGGATGTAAAGAACTTATTGTTTAACTTTCTAGAATACAGGTTCTGATACCATGAATATCTTGACACAGTCTTAGAGCTTATTGGCTGCTCCGTAGATGTCAGCTGTTGGAACCCTCTTTGATCTCGTCGTCAACTTTCTGAAATGTTTTTAAAATGGAACTCTTTGAGCTGAGATTTCACTTCAATGAACAGAAAGCAATTTATTAGAGTATAATGACACTTTTGTTCCCCGTCCCCCCAAATGTTGTTATTATATCATAAAGTTAAATGTAAACAATATTAACAGAAACTCTGCGGGTCTAAGCCCTGCCCTAAGTTGGGGTCTAAGCCCTGCGGGTGCCACCTGCATAAAAGCAAACAAATAAAACAGCATTCGAATTTCTGACCGTAAACATACGAAACGGAGATATTTTAATGATGGTAAAATGAGATGCGCACATAACCGTTGCCGCAAGTTATCGTTTTATAAATTTGTAAATTTTAAGATTTTATAAACTTAAAATTCGCTCCTAAAAAAAACTTTGGAGACGCACTGTGTAAATCTCGATGGGAAGCATCTAATTCTAGCACAACGAAATATTTTCTGCAGATATTTCTGCAAAATATTTTAGCAGAATACTGTGTGTACTCACCGGTGACGATGCCGCGTACGAAGAGTATCCAAACTGTGTATAAGACATTCTTGCAGTCTTTTCAGTCAAGCGAGAGTGTATTTGACATTCGAGGGATCATCCACTCTCTAGTCATATGTTACATGTTGTCCGGACTTGAGAATTAGTTACTCACGGCACTGCGGTAACAGAAGCAGAAGCATGGTGACTCGACACCCCACCAGGACAAAAATCTCTTTTAGTGCTCCCTGGTAGAAACAGCTTTCCTACTTCGTGTGGAATCCGAGGAATCTTCAGAGCTGTCCCAACAGCCACAGCCTGTACGGGTGGCAATGCCGATAGAATCCGCGTTCACGGGGCGCAATACGGGAATTGGGTGACGGAGGAGGGGCTCATTGTTTCCCATTGGTTGGCCCACGGGGACCTGGCTCCACCTCCTGCCGTGTCTCGGATGCGAAGGAGGCTGCGGCCAGAGCAAACGATGCAACCGCGTAGAACGGCGGGGACAGGGAAAAAGCGGCGTTTTGCACGCGACGGAATGCTGCTGATGCTGCAGAGTACGGCTGCGCGAACTCGTTAAAAACTTTTTAAGGGGTGTTGGAACCCAAAAATCTTCAAAAAACGGTGATTTCGGATTTTTGCATTTTCAAATTCTCTTCATTTTTATCTTTCTAAAAATACCGCTCTTTAATCGCTATGAAAATTAGAACTGTAAGTAAAAAATCTAGTTTTAATTTGCCATCGAATGCTTTGATAAATGAGGATTTTTACATTAAAAACGTGTTTACCTCCAAACATGATTTTTTTATACTCGATGTACCTTTTCTCAGGAACTATTGCTCACAGGTATCTATAAAACTTTTATGGCTTATTTATTAGGTTTCCTGATATTTACTAAAATGAGCTTTTTGTGATAAACTAAGAAATGTGAGAAAAGTGCTAAACATTACTGTGCCTAACAAAATATTCTGTAAATTACTCACAAAATCAAAATGTTTCAAAAGCTAATTTCAGCATAATCAGATAGGTATTCTTTAATTACACAGCAAATTTCAAGCGTGTATCTGCAGTAGACTTTGAGAAAGGGTACATCGAAAATGGCCAATTTAACATTGTCGGTATAGGGGTTGCTGATACCCCTTAAGGGCTCAGCTCTCATTTAAATCACTCACATTAAAGACTATATAATATAACAATTCGATGTTCTGTTGCAAAACAAAGAAAGACTTGGAAATTAGCTGCTTAATGAATTTAGTTTCCAAAATATCATTCTTAGCGATGTTCCTCAACAGTTACGAATGTTATATCTAAAATACGAGCAAGTTCTTGGTATTACCTGTGTATGGACGCTCCGCGATTGTGCTTTCATGCAGTAGTGCATAACTAGGCTTATTTGAACATGGAGTATTTGCTTCTGCGCAATACATACTCCATGCTCGTTAAAGTGTATGAAAGCTTTGCTGGAAAGAGCAGCTAATGTATGCACTTGTAACAATGGGAAATAACCATGATTGATCTATCGTGTACATATTAATCGGTGTTACTTCCAGTTTGTGAGTCTAGAGTTGCAGTTGTGCGTTGGAGGACATGCATAAAAAGGAAATAAAGTTGTACGATGTATTATTTGGATCACCGTGAAATACTTTGTTGATGTCCTACAGTAGACAACTTTAGGGGAAAGAAAAAGCACAAACAAAAATCAGCAAACCTCTGCGCTCGAAAGCAAATTAGGAGAAAGTTTTATACTAATAGTCTTTCGATCGTTGTAGATTTGCAAATGTTGTGCACATTGCAAAATATATTTTACCTAGTATTATCTATTTAATTAAGACATCTATTTGTCTTATGTTTATTATCTATTTGTCTTATGTCTAAGCGCTTCGCTTCCAGAAATATTCATGCGTTAGTGATGCAATTGGTGGGTATTTAGATGAATTTCATTTGTTTAAAAACAAAGTTTCGATACTATTGCGTACATTTGTATCTGTAACAGTTTATATAGAAGAGCTGCTTTTGCTCTCATTTTATTTCTTGTTTACACATTTTGTTTGTAAAATATAACATGATATTTACATGTTGTATGATTAGCAGTCCATGATAAATGTGATAATTTTTGGAAGGTTAAAATATCAGTATGTTCGTAGAGAAAGTATTATATTAATATACTTGCAGCTGAACAGATTTTGTTATAATTGTACGCAAAGTATAAATATGGACGTACATCAAATAGGAAGAGAAACACAACAATGTAAAATGTAAAATTGGCAAAACAGCAGGCGGATTCTTCTTCAGAGCGGGAGGAGGGACATATTTCCATAACACTAAAATAAGACATTCGGATGACTGGAAAGAGAAGAAGGTTAAAAAAAAAGTTAAATATTAGAAAATGTTTTAAATGTAACAAACACACTGAATTTACCTTATTTTTACATTCCAATTTTTAACATTTCTATGAATCCATATGAAATGTTAAGTGCACATAGAAGTGAACCATCACTACCATTTTTCTTATGAATATTTTTTGGGAAGAATACGTTTTAGACAGCAATTTGGGTTTCCTCTTCTTAAGTAAACTCCCAACACTTTAAATTTTCTATAAAGATCTAGTATAAGTTTCATTGATTCAAAGCTTAATCTAAGTCCCCCTCCTGCATCCCTTCGTGGTGTAACTCGGCACGTATTCGAGAGGCCTAGGTTTGATTCCCGGTGAGGGCATTGCTCATTTTTCATGTCTCCGGCATATTAAAAAAAAAAAAATTTAAAAAAAACCTTTAAAGAAAACCTTAAAAAAAAACTTTAAAAAAAAATTTTTAAAAAATAAAATAAAAAAAAAAAAAACATAATAACCTAATAACCTAATACTCTACAGTGGCGCCAGAACAAAAAGGTGGTGGATGATGATTCTTCACCTCCAGGAATTGTCAACTGGGTCTCCTAATGCCCAGTCGCTCTTTAAAATCGAGATATATAAGGTATTTTTCTCTTTCCTTTCTGCATGCCTTAGGTAACGGTAGCACGCTCGCCGAGTATTCGGGAGGTCCAGGTTCGAGTAACGGCGAGGGTAATGCCCATTTTTCACGTCTCCAGCAAAAAAAAAAAAAAAAAAAAAAAAAAAAAAAAGAAAAAGAAATTAACGACTCTACAGCATTACAAAAGAAAGAAAAGTGTTAGTGACTTTTGTTAATTCCGGAAAAGCTCTATACCCATCTATAAGTACAAGAATGTTCTATCTGAAAGGAATTCATTATCAAGATTTTTATAATTTTTTAGATAATTCGTGTATCAGTATTTATCCAACTCCAACTCCATATTAATCTTGCGTTCATGATACTGATATCCGATTGCAGATTATGAAAAATAATTTATGATTTTCCAGTAAAAGAGCGTTGATAGCATTTATTAAAAACAGGACACAAATGTCATTTTATCAAGACAACGATATAGCTCCCCCCCCAAAAAAAAAAGTTGGAAAAAAAAAAATTTTCTTTCAAAGCGGAATGTACGAATGTGTCAGAGTAATTATTATGATCGAAGGCTCGGTTTTGCTTCATAAAGCTATATAAAATATTCACATAATATTATTTCTAAGCTTATATGCAAATATAAGAGTAAACAGTTTAGTTTACTTTTTTTATTATCCTCAATACTTATTTCATTCACGCTTGTTATTCTAAATAACAGGTTTGAATCTTGAAACTGTAATTTCAAACTAAGCACAGTTTCTTTAGCTATATGAAATAGTGTATATGCAGTATGTTTACAAACTTTTAGGCCTAAGTTCGAATGAAGCCGAAGGTTAAAGAAAGCAACGTTCTTATCCTTCACAGTAAAATCGTCGAAAATCTATAAAACGCTTGGCATGGTCAAATAGCTCTTTGATTCCTTCACAGAAGTCATCTCTTGAAGCATTGTTTAAGTCTCTGATAAGAGTTTTCTGAATTTTTTCAACGGTATTAAAATAATTATGTTTTTACTTTAAGGAAGAGGAGGTAGTTGGCAATATCAAATCTGGCGACTAAGGAGGTGACTGAATACTGTGGAACAAAGCATGGTCGAGCAGCAGAAACCAATTATTCTTTTGAACGTTTTCAAGCTTAATGCACTAATTCTATTCAGAAGTCTAACTATTGTATATGTAAAATATGAAGTTCATCGTCTGCCCGTCAGGAACAAGTCAATAACATTGCCTTTAGGGGATATTAATTAAGTCGAAGCTTCAGAGGTTGTGGTGAACTTTCTCCAACCTAGGCATGCCTCTGGATTCCAAGTAAAACACCAAATCTCATCTCCAGTTGTAGAGACATTACGTTATTTCGAAGCCGGAGAGATGAAAAATGAGCAACGCCTTCGCCGGGAATCGAACCGCAGACCACTGGAAAACGCGCCCAGCGTGCAGACCACTACACCACGAAGGCACGCTAAGAAGGCGGGAGAAATACTTTATACAGTCACAAAATGCTTGAAAATAACTCGGCTTTACAAAAAAGTATTGTTACTATTCTTTATTCGTCTTTCGAATCCATGACAGAGCATGTTCTCTGTATCAAGGCAAACTTTCAACTATACAGAAAAATTTGTCGGTAAGCAGACGGTATTTTAAAGAAAAGAAGTTGATATGCCATAGTAATAAATGCTGTCAGTTTGTCAGTTTTACAAGATATTGTTGAAAATTGCGTCTGTAATTTTGTGGACTCAATGTGCACATGTATTAATTAGTAAATGGGAGAGCATTTACGATAAAAAGTTAAATAGTTTTCTTTAATAGTACTCACTTTTGTAAATTTGTGAAAAATAATAAATACAGTTATTTTTTATCATTTTTCTATACATGCATGTAATAATAAAAAGTTAGCATAATGTTGTAAAACATGATAATACTGATTATGCTTTTGATACTGAATATTTTGTGATTAAACATGTGGAGTTATTAGGTTAACTGGGAGCAGAAAAGATGAAAAATATGAAACCGCCTTCGCCGGGAATCGAACCACGGACCTCTGGAATACCAGCCCAGCGTGCTACCGTTACACCCCGAAGGCACGCTAGGAAAGTGGGAGAAATACCTTATATACTCCCCTTCTTAAAGGGCGACTAGGGTTTTAGGGGACCTAGTCGCCAAATCCTGGGTGCGGAGAATCATCATCCACAACCCTTTTAGTTCGGGCGCCAGTTGTTGAGTCATTAGGGTTAATTGGAAGCAGAAAAGATAAAAAATATGCAACCGCCTTTGCCGGGAATCGAACTACCGACCTCTGGAATACCGGCCCAGCGTACTACCTTTACACCACGAAGGCACGTTAGGAAAGTGGGAGAAATACACTAGTGAGTCTTCGCAAAAATTTTGTTCAGTTTGTTGAATACTATAAAGCAAGCTCACTGTTAGGTAAA